TGAGGTATCTCCATACTGATTTCCACAGTGGTTGCACCGGTCTACACTCCCACCAGCAGGGGAGCAGGGTTCCTGTTTCCCCACAGCCCCACCAGCATTTGCTAAACCCTCTTTTGAGAAGCACTGTTCAAGAACTCTGTACCAAGTAGGCATCAAATATGATTATAAATTTATCTGGTTATGAGAAGAGTTTATCTCTCCCACTTTTCTATTTTTTTTAAGGGATGAACATCAGTAGAAAATCTTTCCCATTTTTCATGGTATGCCAGGTTGAGTTTCAGAGAAGGTTGAAGATGTATGATAACTCTTCTTTCCTCTCCTCTCACTCCAATGTCTATTCTTGCACTTACATTCTTCACTACCATGATGTATCCTTCTGTTTATTCAATCCACTTAACCTAGTTTTTAACCTTAACATAAACAGAGTTTAACCTACCTATCTTCACAAAGCCAATTGTATCTTTAACACTATTCTCTTCCATGAACTCTGCAGCCTCCCAAATTGCAACTTAGACCAATTTATGTCTTCACCTGAGATTCCAACTCTTCCCACTCTTTTTCCTTCCCATTCAATTTACCTGAAGTTTAAAAGCCACCTTAAGCCAGGTATGGTGGCTTATGCCTATTATCTTAGCACTCTGGGAGGCTGAGGCAAGAGGACTGCAAGTTGTAACCCAACCTGGGGAACTTCACAATTTAGCAGGATTCTGTCTAAAAATAAAAACAGGCCGAGGATGTAACTCAGTGCGGTTCAATCCCTAGTTCCACAAAAACATCAACAAAAGTAACACCTTAAATTTCAGCTTTTTTTGGTTTTCATTACTGGGGACTGGACACAGTGCCTTTGCACTGATGTATATACCTTATTTATTTATTTACTTATTTATTTATGTCATTTGAGACAGGGTCTTGCTAGTCACTAAATTGCCCAGGCTGGGCTCAAACTTGCAATCCTGCTGCATCAACCCCACAGTTGGCTGGGATTACAGGTGTGAACCTGGACACTCAGCTCAGCCTTGTTTATTTTCCCACCCAGTCCAATTACATGTAAGATTTCCTTCCTATGTTGTTCATTGATCTGTATGGCTTGTTTAGCACTTACACTACTAATCTATGTTATTTATAATGTAATGTATATTCGTTCTTCCCAGCTGGATTTTTCTCTCAGTGACTCAGTAAAAACAACTCTTCTGTCTTCTTTTCTTTTCAGACTGACTTTGCTGTTCCTGCTCTGAACTCCCACTTATTCTGTACATGAGTGTACCATGGCTCTCTGTTTCAGCCTGTAGGGTCTATACTTATTTGACATTGTTACTTACTTCTGTAGTTTTACAATATCTATTACAACTACATCTTAGATATTTATAACTTACTTCATATCTTATATTCAAATAGAAGGAAGGCGGGAAAATTTATCCCTTTTAATAGAACACATGAAGTTATTTCATGTCTTTAAGATATAGAAATCTTAAGGATTCAGGTGACTGAGGCAGAAGGATTGCAAGTTCAAGCCCAGCTTGGGCAACTTAGAGACCTAGCAAGACTCTGTCTCCCAAGGACCAAGGATGTAGCTCAGAACTACAACTCTGGGTTCAACTGGGGTTCAATCCCCAGTACAAAGAGATAGAGTGTTTAACAAATTCACAAAGTTAAAGGGTACAACACACATTAGCCATCAGCAATAAACAATTTGAAAATGAAATTAGGAAAACAATCTCATTTACAATAACATCAAAAAGAATAAAACATAGAAGTATAAATTTAACCAAGGAAGTGCAAGACCTATATACTGAAAACTACAAAATATTGGTGACCAAAATAAGAAAAAGACATCCAGTCGTCATGGATTGAAGGACTTAATAATGTGAAGAAGGCAATATCAATCTTCAGATTCAGGGCATTCCATCTTAAACTCCCAATGACCTTTTACACAGAAATGGAAAAAACTAACCTCAAATACATAATAGAATTGCAAGCAACCCAAAAACCTAAACAATCTTGAGAAAGAAAAAGTCAGAAGACTCACTTTCAGATTTCAAAACTTACTTCAAAGCTACAGTAATCAGAACAGTACATTATTGAAATATAAAAAATGTATAATACGTAGTATAAGATAGATGAACATCAAATTATTATGCTAAGTGAGAGAAACCTGAAACCACAAAATAATACATATTTTATAATTCTGCTCATTTGAAATACCCAGAATAGGTTAATGCAAAAATTAAAAATGATTGTCTCAGGGGCTGAAGGAACAGGGAGTAACTGCTTATGAGAGTTTCTTTTAGGGGTGAGGGAAATACTTTGGAACTAGATACAAGTGACACTTGTACTATATTGTGGATGAACTAAATACCATTGACTCATACACTTCAAAACAGTTAATTCTCTGAAACATGAATTTTACCATAGTAAAAAAGAAGATAAGATGAAGGAGAAGAAGATGAGACGGAGGAGGAGTGAGGAGGAGGAAGGAGAAAAAGATGACTGTGACAGCAACAATGATGACAACAGCCAATAGGAACAATGTTTCTTTCACATTGTTAGAAATGAGCCCCTAGACTCCCAAACTGTCAGTGCCGGAAAGAATGCATGCAGCAAGCAAGAAGACTCGACAAAGCAGTTTAAAGTTTTTTGTTTTGTTTTGTTTTGGTACCAGGGATAGAACTCCGGACCTTGTGCTTGCGGGGCAGGCACCGGAACCACTGAGCTAAACCCTGGCAAAGCAGTTTAGAGTTTACTTCTGCAGTAGAGCACAAGTAGGCAGCAGGCAAGCTGAGTGGTGGGAAAGAGGGGATTTTAAGCCCTAGTGTGTGGGAAGCACCTGTCCTTTAAAGTCATTGGCTGAATTCAAAGGCTTACAATCTACCCCGTTTGGTTAGTTTAAGCAGTGCAAAGGGAGGATTCAAAGGGTTGCTGAGAAGATGGAAGAACTGGAGGGGAGAAGGTGTGGGGAACAGAAAGTCCTTGGCTAGTGATAATCAATCTTCGGTCTGCAGCTATGTTCCCAG